TATTTGTGGAATCACTGGTTGATTATCTTTCAACTTTGTTACTTAATTATAAAATAAAGATTTGGTTCTAAATGATCTCCAAGGACTTCGCTTGTCAAAGATAAAGCCTGACACTAGTTAAAGTGGATAAAGACAGATTTTGTTCAGTAACTACTAGAGTACAAGACGGAGCTGTGCTGTGTTCGAATTTGTGCAGAGGTAACGGGGTGTTTTAAGGAAAAAAGAGGGAATAGGGAGAGGAGTGGGAGGAACGGGAGAGCTTTAGTCAAGTTACGGAAGTGAAAAATTTAAAAAGCAGTGAAGAGCATTGTTGACTTTCTGTGATTATGTCATTTATGTCTTCTAACTAGCATGAATGGAAATTAGGCATCTATCCTCTCACAGAGGCCCTGTTGATTACATTTCAAAGGGTCCTTCAGAAAGATACTCTGGGTCTTAGGAGATACATATGCATCTCAAGAGGGCAGAGGAAGAAGTTAAAATTTTAAGTTTGTTTGTTTAGTAAATGGGAAGGGGAGGTCTGGGACCTGTCTTTAGATGTTGGCTGGAACCCAAAGTAAATTCTTTTGAAAGCCTTGGGTTTTTCCATACTGGAACTTAAGGGGGGCTAGCTCCTCCCAGGGATGAGACCCTAGGCTCTTAGAAGCCATTTCACACCCTCCTTTTAAATTTCTTATGAGTTATCAGAAGGAATTATTGGTAATTTGATTTTTTATATAAACCTAAGATAAATATGTTAATGATCCCACTGAGATAAAGTCTATGTATTTGCCCTATAGGCATGTGAAGTCACTTTTCCTGTGTATATTGAGCTGATATGATACCTTTAAAATCTCCCTTCCTTTCCTCTGCCCAACATTTACTATCCTCATCCTCTGTTTTGTTTACCTGTATGTAGAGGTTAGGAGGAAAAGATGCAGGGGGTATTGGAATGAGAGTAGACTGGTGGCCAGGATGCCTCACTGGCCACATTTTTTACTTTTAGCCTTGCAGACAGCAAACTCTGATTCTGGTATTGTGTCAGGAGAATGATTGTCCCTCAGGCACCATTCAGGGGAACGCAATAGGACCTGACCTGTCAGCTAGATTTATAGAGAATCAAACATAGAACAAGTTTCTTTATTTTTAAAAAAATTTATTTTTATTTTTATTTTTGAGACAAGTTTCACCATGTTGGTCAGGCTGGTTTCAAACTCCTAACCTCATGATCTGCCTCCACCTCCCAAAGTGCTGTGATTACAGGCATGAGCCACCACGCCTAGCCAGAACAAGTATTATAGAATAATGATAGGTGATAATAGGTACAAATTTTATGTCAAGTTGTTCATGTTTTAGATACTAGAACATTCCCTCCCTGAAGAGAAATTGCATGTAAAACCAAATTATAATTATAATGCTTCTTGGTCAGAATCAACTTGGCGCATGGGGAATTAATATAAATTACCAATGTAATTGGGATCTGGTTGCTTCCAGGACCCAAGAATTCACCATTATAGACAGTCTTTGATAGACACAGCTAGTTTCTGGCTCCCTAGGCAGACTATAGCTCATGAGCCAGATCCTGCCTGCTACTTGTCTCAGAAAGCTAAGAATGATTTTTATATATTTAGATGATTGGGAGAAAAAAATCAAAAGAATAATAATATTTGGTGACATGTAAAAATTATGTGAAATTCAAATTCATTATCCATAAACAGAGTGTTAGTGGAATACAGCCATGCCTTTTCATTTACATATATTCTATGGCTGATTTTGCACTATGATAGTAGTTTTGAATAATTTCAAGAGAGACCCTATGGCCCACAATGCCTAAATTATTTGTTGTTTGGGCCTTGAGAAAAAGTTTGCTTACCCCTGGTGTAGATTAAATAGCTTTTCATAAAAATTATTTAGAGTCTTTTTGAATATTCTTTCTATTTGCAAGTTTTATTTGCAGCATTTATTTTGTGGTAACAGTAAGTTATGACTATTTTGTACAGAGCTAGTTAGTGGATTTTTCTTTTTTCTTTTTTTTTTTTTTGAGACAGAGTTTCACTGTCGTTACCCAGGCTGGAGTGCAATGGCGCAATCTCGGCTCACTGCAACCTCCACCTCCTGGGTTCAGGCAGTTCTCCTGCCTCAGCCTCCCGAGTAGCTGGGACTACAGGCACGCGCCACCATGCCCAGCTGATTTTTTGTATTTTTAGTAGAGACGGGGTTTCACCTTGTTGACCAGGATGGTCTCGATCTCTTGACTTTGTGATCCACCCACCTCGGCCTCCCAAAGTGCTGGGATTATAGGCGTGAGCCACTGCGCCAGGCCAGTGGATTTTTCTTTTAAACATCAAATTGCATAGCAGTATGTCTAAATTGCCCTTGAAGAAATACAAAATGAGTAGTAAATTTATCTTTGAAATCTGCACAACGAAAGTATTGTACCCTAAATACTATGAATAAAGGTCAGTAAATTTAAGTTAAACAGTGTGGGGAGCAAAGGATTTTTATCATCTTTATATCCATTTCTCTTTTTATTTCCTCCCTTTTTACACATAAATGCTAATCAATAGTTGTTAGCTGTTTTTGGAATTTGTGACACTGAGCCATTGGCTGTGCTTCAACATCTGGGTTGTTGGCCAAACTTTGGAGCTATGTCATTTTTCACCTCTAAGGTACCGAGGAGAAGCTTCCCCATACTCAGCATTAGCCTCTTGGATAGTCAGCCAATGTTGTCTTCTTCTAGGGGCCTGGTACTCAACTGAGCACTCAATAAATGCTTCATTCAGATCATAAGCTGAGCTCCGCATTGTTGATTGTCTCTCATTTTTAAAAATTTGAGATATTCACACACTGTAAAATTTACTCTTTGAAAATAAACAATTTAGTGTTTAGTAGTATAGTTACAGGGAATGTGCAACCATCACTGTTATCTTAATTTGCGAACACTTTTATCACTCTGAAAAGAAATTGCATACTTACCAGCAGTCATTTCCCATTCCTTCCTTTCCCTGTCCACTGGAAACTGCTAGTCTACTTTATCTATGTGGATTTGACTATTCTAGACATTTCATATACATGGAATCATGCAATATATGACCTTTTGTGTCTGGTTTCTTTCGCCTAACATGTTTTCAAGCCTCATCCATGCTGTAGTGCGTCATCACCTCATTTCTTTTTATGGCTACATGAAATTCCATTGTGTGATGTACCACAGTTTATTGATTCACCTGTTAGTGGACATTTGGGTTGTTTCCACCTTTTGGCAGTTGTGGATAATACTGCTATGAACATTTGTGTAAAGATTTTTTTATGGACATATGTTTTCTTTTTTCTTGTGTAAATACTTAGAAGTGTAATGGCTAAGTCATATGGTAGCTAAATATTGACATTTTAGGAACTGCCAAGCTGTTTTCCAAGGCAACCGCACCATTTTATATTCCCACTAACAAACTGTAAGCATTCACATTTTTCCGTATTCTCACCAACATTTATTATTATCTTTCTCATTGTGGTAAAATTTCTATTCACATTCTGACATTTTAGCTTTTGATATCATCACTTTAGGGTCTTTCTCATATAATATTTTGATTTTTCCCATTTTCTGTATATCTGGTTTTTTCTCTCAAAAGAAACGTAACACTGTCAGCCAGAGGAAGTGTGATATTCTAGGGAATGGGAAACTCATGCTTCCTGTGAGTCTTTTAAGACTGTTCGTTGTCCATCTGGGCAACATGAAGAAACCCTGTCTCTACAAAAAATGCAAAAATCAGCCAGGTGTGGTGGCACGTGCCTGTAGTCCCAGCTCCTCAGGAGGCTGGGGTGGGAGGATCACCTGAGCCCAGGGAGGTTAAGGTTGCAGTAAGTTGTGATCATGCCACTCTACTCTACCTTGGGTGACAGAGTGAGATCTACCTCAAAAAACAAAACAAAACAAAACAAAACAAAACAAAACAAAAAAGATCCTGTATTGTTCCTGGCCATACTGCTTGTTTTATATTCTTTTTCTATATTAATACTGATTTCCTTATACAAATTGATGAAAAGATGTTACTAGTGCAGGCTAGGAAAAGGGTGACCTACCTGAGAGAGCCAGTTTATTTTTCTCCTGTCTAGCCCATTGCCCGTACTCTAGGATAACCTCTTGCCTTATGTTGGTTCTTCTCTTTTGGTCCTCATTATACTCCTGACTCCTTGAATTGCAATAAATAAGTGAAATTGCTGACATTTTATGTTATTTTATGCCTACTTTAAGGTAATATTATTACTGTTCCCGTTTTATTGCTGAAAAAAACTAGCTCACAGAGGTCATAGAACTCATTTGTATTTCACTGTGTTAACCTCCCTTACTGGCTTCCTCTGACCTCTAGGTTAGGGGAATGCTGCTGAAATGAGAGAAAGCTTCCTGCACTGGCTTTTAAGCGCAGTGGTTATTCAGATCATCTTTCTTTGGCCTGTTACAGAGGTTCTGGTTTGCCTAAAGTACTTGTGTAGAAAGAGAAGCATAGACATTTGCCTTAAAGCCAAGTTACATAAGTTTTCATATACCAAGCAATGGAATTTTAACTTTACCCCCAAATAGGAGAACAGTGAGGTAGAGAGAGGTGTGATTAAAGGTATGTGTACAATTTGGCATGTTTTTTGAACCTGATTCTGTCCTAGGCATGAAGATGAATAGTTTTGTCCTTGCCCTTAAGGAACTTCCAGCCATTTGGAGGGATGGAATCCAATAACTACCCTCATATGGGAAAATGTGTCTATAATGTGTGTATAAAGTTCTTGATAGCAGAGGAGAGAGCCACAGAGATCCCTTCTTACTTTACCTTAAATTCAGTTATCAAACAATAGTAAATATTTTTTATCATTTTAAGTAGTATGCATTTTAGGGTACAATTAGATTGGACTGTTTAGTGTAACCTCTTTCCTTTATAAACATGTATTAACAGAACAGATAGCATAGTTGTACAAGTCTACCAATGTAAATGAAAATTGCTTTCATGTATTAAGATATTAACTTTATCTGACAGATATGCCAAGAGTTTAACAGTACCTGGGCATGGGAGATGGAGAAGAAAGGCTATCTTGAAATGAGTGTTGAATGCAAACTAGCACTCTTAAAGGTAATAAATTTATTGTTACAGTTATTTTAATTTAAAATTTCACTTTTGACTCCTGGTTAAATTGGAAAATAAACAAAAAGTAGACACTTTTATTATTAGTAGACAAGGACAATGTAGTCTTCTATTTTTTGTGACAATCTACTTTAAAGTACTGCTTTTTTCAAAATATATCTATGTTTAATTATCTCTTGTAGGAACAGTAATAACATGGGCAAGCAGTTGCTCCAAATTAGTTTAATTCATTGTTTTCAACCTTCACAATCATTACTATATACTTGTAAACTGTGGATAATTTTCTACTGACTTACTAAATTAGCAGTTTGATACTGTGTTCTAGATGACTAGGAGCATGTCATTTTGTACTTGATAAACCCTCATATAACCAACCGACTTGACTTAAATGGGTCATCTCAAAGGACGCTTTTTTACAAGTTTGAGTTTTCTTTTCCTGCCCACTCCCTACTGTTGGCTCCTAATTAGTAGCAAAGTGGTCAGTATAATACAGGGGAAAAAAATACTCTTTGTGAAAACATTAATGAAGTTTTTGCTGCTTCTAAAATTTATAGTGTTTTGTAAGTAGGTTTATTATTCAAAAGACCTCAAGATTTTATGATGATCCTTAAAATATAATGTCAGTGTACATATTATTATTTTGGAGCTGGATAAGACAATAGGGTAGCTGTTAATTTGCTATTAGATGTTGATTGTTGTTGGAGCCTACACAGAAGTCTTCAAGATCCGTAACATACTTTTCTCAGAAAACCAAAAGTCATGGTAAACTCAGATTTTAGGGTGTACAGTCATGCAGGTTCATCTGTCTCTATACCACCTTGTGGTACCAAGAGGGGTGATTCATTGGGAGTCAAAATAAAGTTATAGAAGTTGTACTCATAACTTTTATTAATCCCAATTTTTGAAATACCTTTTTGTGCATTCTTATAATGTATGTAATACTTTAGTATTATGCATTTAATTACTTAAACATATGTAATTAGTATCACATGTTATATATTAGTGTGTATATTATGCATTTATTGTGTAAATACATAAGAAAGTATATATAATACTTACAACTTTTCAGGGTATGTTGTAAATTTTTTAGTAATAAAGATGCTTGATCAAAAATGTTTAGAGACTACTGAGATACCTGACATAGGTGAAGGCATAAAGGCTGTAATAGGCTCTCTGCCCTGGCAGAGAGTCAGGAAGAAATCTGACTTATACTCTAATCATCTACAAAATACATAACAAAATGTAGTTCTTCCAATCTAGTATGTGAGTATCTTTTTATTAAAAGAATTTTTCAGAGGCAGCTATCAGTGAAAATCTACCTTCCTTGAAAACTGCATATGTCTCAGGCTTTCAGAAACAGTCTTTTGAAGAAGAATGCTAATCCAAAACCTGGAGGAGACAAAGAATTGAAAGTTTTATACCATGACTCCTGAATAACCAACATGTTAAAAACAAATCCAAAGGGAAAATTTAAAAATCTTCAGAGAAATGAAAATGGAAATTCGCCGGGCGCGGTGGCTCAAGCCTGTAATCCCAGCACTTTGGGAGGCTGAGGCGGGTGGATCACGAGGTCGAGAGATCGAGACCATCCTGGTCAACGTGGTGAAACCCCGTCTCTACTAAAAATACAAAAAATTAGCTGGGCATGGTGGCGCGTGCCTGTAATCCCAGCTACTCAGGAGGCTGAGGCAGGAGAATTGCTTGAACCCAGGAGGCGGAGGTTGCGGTGAGCCGAGATCGTGCCATTGCACTCCAGCCTGGGTAACAAGAGCGAAACTCTGTCTCAAAAAAAAAAAAAAAAAAAAAAAGAAAATGGAAATTCAACATGCCAGAACTTAAAAAATCCAGCAAAAGCAAATCTAAGAGGGAAGTTTATAGCAATCAATGGGCATATTAAAAAAGAAGAGGCCGGGTGCGGTGGCTCAAGCCTGTAATCCCAGCACTTTGGGAGGCCGAGGCGGGTGGATCACGAGGTCAAGAGATCGAGACCATCCTGGTCAGCATGGTGAAACCCCGTCTCTACTAAAAATACTAAAAATTAGCTGGGCATGGTGGCGCGTGCCTGTAATCCCAGCTACTCAGGAGGCTGAGGCAGGAGAATTGCCTGAACCCAGGAGGCGGAGGTTGCGCTGAGCCGAGATCGCGCCATTGCACTCCAGCCTGGGTAACAAGAGCGAAACTCTGTCTCAAAAAAAAAAAAAAAAAAAGAAGAAAGATCTCAAATAACAACCTAATGTTATATTGCAAGAAACTAGAAGAACAAACTAAACCCAAACTTAGTAGGAGGAAGAAAATAACCAAGATCAGAGCAAAATTCAGTGAAATAGAGACTAGAAAAAAATTGGTAGGAAAGATAAACAAAACTAAGAGTTGGTTCTTGAAAAGACAAACAAAACCGACAGCCTTTAGCTAGGCTAAGAAAGAAGACCTAAATCAGAAATTAAGGTGAAGACATTATAAGCAATACCACAGAAATATAAAGGATCATAAGAGACAAACTATGAATGTTTGGATGATATAGAAAAATAAGGATAAATACTAGAAGCACATATTTTACCAAGACTGAATTATGAAGAAATAGAAAATCTGAACAGACCAATAACAAGTAAGAAAGTTGTACCAGTGGTCAAAAATGTCCCATCAGAGAAAAGCCCAGGGCATGATGGCTTCACAGCTGAATTCTACCAGACATTTAAAGAATGACTAATACTAGTCCTTCTCAAACTCTTCTAAAAAACTGAAGAGGAGAAAATACTTCCAGACGAATTTTATAAGACCAGCATTATACTGATCTCAAAGCTGGACACAAACACTATAAGAAAAGAAATATTCCAGATGAACACAGATGCAAAAATCCTGAACAAAATAACTAGCAACCAAAGTTAACAGCACATAAATGGGATTATTCACTATAATCAAGTGGGATTTATCCTGGAATGCAAGGATTGTTCATCATATGCAAATCAGTAAATGTGATGTATGGCCAGGTACAGTGGCTCACACCTGTAATCCCAGCACTTTGGGAGGCTGAGGCAGGAAAATCACTTGAGCCCAGGAGTTCAAGTCTAGCCTGGGCAACACAGTGAGACCAGTTTTCTAAAAAATATTTTTAAAAGCTAGCTGAATGTGGTGGCATACACCTGTAGTCCTAGCTACCGGGGAGGTTGAAGCAGAGGATTGCTTGAAGTATGATTGTGCCCCACCCTGGGTGACAGACTGAGACTCTGTCTTTAAGAAATAAATAAACCAGGCAGGGTGGCTCATGCCTGTAATCCCAACTTTTGGGAGGCTGAGGTGGGCAGATCACTTGAGGTCAGAAGTTCAGGAGCAGCCTGGCCAACATGGGGAAACCTATCTCTACTAAAATTACAAAAATTAGCTAGGCATGGTGGTGCATACCTGTAATTCCAGCTAAGACAGAGGCTGAGACAGAAGAATCACTTGAGCTCTGGAGGCAGAGGTTGCAGTGAGACAAGATCATGCCACTGTACTCCAGCCTGGGTGAGAGAGAGAGACTCTGTCTAAAGAATTAAGTAAATTAATTAAGTAAAATTGTGATGCTCTGCATTAAGAGAATGAAGGACAAATATATGATCATATGAATACATGCAGAAAAAAGATTTGAGAAAATCCAACTTTGCTTTTATGATAAAAACTCACAACAAATTAGATATGAAAAGAATATGTATCAGCGCAAGAAAGGTCATGTAAGACAACCCCACAACTTAACATCGTACTCAACAGTGAAAAACTGGAAGCATTTCCTTTAACATCAGGAGCAAGACATGGATACCTACTTGCCATTTATATTCAACATAGTACTGGCAGTCCTAGTCAGAGCAGTTAGTTACAAAAAGAAATAAGTCATCTGAATTGGAAAGGAAGAAGTTAAATTGTCACTGTTTGCAGATGACATGATTATCGTTTTGTTTTGTTTTTGTGATTTTATGTATGAAACATCCTAGAGACTTTACCAACAGACTGTTAGAACTAATAAATGAATTCAGTAAAATTGACAGATGCAAAATCAATATACAAAAATCAGAAGTGTTTCTAATCACAAATCACAAACTATCCAAAAAAGAAATTAAAAAATTCATTACAATAGCATCAAAAAATATTTAGGAATAAGTTTCACCAAAGAGGTGAAAGATCTCTACACTGAAAACTACAAAACATTAATGAAAGAAAAGACAAATAAATGAAAAGATGTCCTGTTTTCATGGATTAGTAGAATTAATCTTGTTAAGATATACAACCGGTTGCAGTGGCTCATGCCTTTAATCCCAGCACTTTGGGAGGCTGATGCGGGTGGCTCATGAGATCAGGAGTTCGAGACCATCCTGGCCAACATAGTGGAACGCCGTCTCTACTAAAATACACAAGTCACCTGGGCATGGTGGCATGTGCCTGTAGTCCCAGCTACTTGGGAGGCTGAGGCAGGAGAATTACTTGAACCCAGGAGGCGGAGGTTGCAGTGAGCCGAGATCACACCACGGCACTCCAGCCTGATGTCAGAGTGAGACTCTTTGTCTCAAAAAAAAAAAAAAAAGAAAGAAAAGATATCCATATTGCTCAAAGTGATCTACAGATTCAAGCAATCTCTATCAAATTCCGACGGCATTGTTCACAGAAATAAAAAACAACCCTCAAATTCAAACGGAACCACAGGACCCTGAATAACCAAAGCAATCGTAAGCCAAAAGAACAAAACTAGAGGCATCATGCTACCCAATCTCAAAATCTACTAAGTTATAGCAATCAAAACAACATGGTATTGGTAAAAAGCAGATACATCAACCACTGTAACAAGACAGAAAGCCCAGAAATAAACCCATGTATTTATGGTCAGTTGCTTTTTGATAGTGGTATCAAGATTACACACTAGGCAAACGACAGTCCATTTAATGAATGGTGCTGGGAAAACTGGTTATCCACATGCAGGAGAATGAAGTTAGACCCTTATCTTACACCGTACACAGATGTTATCTTAGTGGATTAAAGACTTAACTATAAGACCTGAAAGTATAAAAGGACTAGAAGAGTTTAATATTCAAACCATATAACAAACTCAGGCAACAGCAAGAAAACAAATAATCTGATGTAAAAATGAGCAAAGGACTTCCACAGACATTTCTCAGAAGAAGACGTAGTAAATGGCCAACAGATGTATGAATAAATGCTCAACATCACTAATTATCAGGGAAATGTGGATTAAAACCACAATGGGATATCATTTTATGCTTGTTAGGATGGCTATTATCAAAATGACAAGACAAGAGATAACAAGTTTGGTAAACTTGTATAGAAAAGGAATCCTTGTACACTGATTGTGAGAATGTAAATTAGTTCAGCCATTATGGAAAATAGCATGGAGGTTTCTCAAAAAATTCGAAGTAGAACTACTATGATTCAACATTCCACTAGATATATCCAGAGGAAGTGAAATTTGTTTCTTGAAGTAGTATCTCCACTCCCGTGTTTACTGCATCATTAATCACAATAACAAAGATACAGGATCATTCTAAATGTCTGTCAACAGAAGAATGTATAAGCAGCAATTCCCGCTTTTGTGACAACACGTTCAACCTGGAGGATGTTATGTTAAATAAAACAACCCAGGCACACCCCATGATTTATTTCTTAATGTGGAATCTAAGAGTCAGACTCATAGAATCAAAATAGAGTGTTGATTACCAGGGATTAGGGAAGTGAGGGGTAGACGGGAGATAATGGCCCAAGTTACAAAAAGTCAGACAGGAGGAATTAGTTAGGAGATCAGTTGTACAACATGGTAACTGTAGATAATAACAATATATAATATATTTGAAAATTACTAAGACGGCATATTTTAAATGTCTTTACCACCAAAAATTCTAAGTACATTAGGTAGTAGATGTGTTATGTTAATTAGCTTGGTTTAGCCATGCCACACTATACACATATATCAGAATACCATGGTGTATACGATAAATATATACAATTTTTATTTGTCATTTATGAAATAAAATGTAAAAAAATAAAATAAAATTTTTAAATAAAAAAATGTTTCTGGCAACAGGGTCTTGCTCTGTTGCCCAAGCTGGAATACAGTGGCGAGATCACAGCTCACCACAACTTCAACCTTGCAACCCCCTAAATAGCTGTGCACCACCATACCTGGCCAATTTTTGTATTTTTTGTAGAGATGGGGTTTCACCATGTTGCCGAGGCTGGTCTTTAACTCCTGAACTCAAGTGCTCCTCCTGCCTTGACCTCCTCAAGTGCTGGGATTACAGATGTGAGCCACCATGCTGGGCCTAAAACAAAAAATCTTATACCATGAGATGATTTGAGAGTTTTTAGTGCAAACAGGCTCATTGCTTTTGAAATAAAACTTAATTTGTGTGTCAGTGGTTGTGTTAAACCTATAAATTAGTATGATATTAATACAAAATGTTATCTGAAAATATTGACTGTTCTAAACAGTTTGTATGAAAGTGGGGAGAGGCTAGTGAAAGAAGGAATATAGTATATGTGTTCTGTCTGCCACTTTCCCTGAATCAGTTCTACGGTTGTATCATATTTATTGTGATGGAGAAATATTTGGGAGGTATTTTAAGCCATGTTATGACTATTTTTTCAGTACCTCTGCGAGTGTCAGTTTGATGACAATCTCAAATTCAAGAATATTATTAATGAGGAGGATGCTGATACTATGCGTCTCCAGCCAATTGGGCGAGACAAAGATGGCCTCATGTACTGGTACCAATTGGATCAAGATCACAATGTCAGAATGTACATAGAAGAACAAGATGATCAAGATGGCTCTTCATGGAAATGCATTGTCAGGTATCTTTTATTGGAAACTTTTTACACTTATTTGTGTGTTTTGTACATTGATCTCGTTTTGACTAGGATGTTATTTATGAGACAGAAGTGGTTTTTCTCTGTGTAGGTTTTGGGAATTTTCAGGGCCTCACCTAGTCTCCAGCACAGTACCCATAGTATGCACTTGTTTTTTTATTTGTCAAGTCAATGAATATATTTAGCAGTTCAGTCCATATTATATACACGTATTTTTCAGGAAGCCAAAATCTGAATAATTATAAATAATATGGACAGAAAAATACATTGTTAGACAAAAGCACAAGAAAAGCATTGTTTGGTTCTTACTTAGCTATACTTTTCTATTTGGCATTAACTGTTTCTAATTATTTAATTTGTTCAATTCACTTTGAGACAGTATATTTTCTATTTGCTGTGCACATATTTATTGAAGTTCTGAGGAAATCTGGGGAACATTGCACTTTTTTGTCATAGTTCTCTTTTAAAAATCTTGATTTTTTTTATTTGTATTGACAAATATATTTTAACAGAAACATTTAATATATAACCCTGAAATATAATTTAAAAAGAAACATGGTTTATATATGAAATAATAGCTGTAAAAAAAAAATGAGTAATACTAGGACCTTTATTCAGAATCTTTGTGTCTTTAATTGTCATTATAACTTTATTATTTAGAAATAGTCTACCAATACCACAGTATATGTTAATTTGGAAACTATAAGGGGTCGTGTAAAGTAGGGGAAACTCATGGATATCTAACTGCTAGCTTATGAAAAACTTCCTTGACGTTGACTCGTATCTATTTTTTGCCCCATTTTTAATTTCAGCAGATTTCTGTTAGTATTTATTAATGCTTTGAAGAAATAACCTATAGAAAAGTTCAGTTTTCATTCCCTAAGAATAAATGTGAATTGATTAATCTCATGAGAAATTGTTTTATAAGCATATATCATTACATTAAATTCCTTGTACTTGCTAAATGGAGGTAAACAAAGTAGTCCTAAAGCAAAATTTATTTACCATTTCCCCTGTAAATACAAAGATTAAGTATGGTCTATTCATGACATTATACCACTGTTTGTATTATTTCCCATGTTAACCTTGTGTAGTTGTTTAAAACATTCTTTTTTCTTTGTCGATGAAGAAAATATGACAGGGAAATATCAATTACTGTTGATCAGTTATACTTGTTTAAAATAATGTTCAATGGGCCAGGCGCCGTGGCTTATGCTTGTAATCCCAGCTCTTTGGGAGACCGAGGCGGGAGGATCACAAGGTCAGGAGTTTGAGACCAGCCTGGCCAGCATGGTGAAAAATTAACCAGGCATGGTGGCACATGCCTATAGTCCCAGCTACTTGGGAGGCTGAGGCAGGAGAATTACTTAAACCTGGCAGGCGGAGGTTGCAGTGAGCCGAGATTACGCCACTGCACTCCAGCCTAGGTGACAGAACAAGACTGTCTCAAGAAAAGAAAAAAGTCTAAGGTATACTGTTTTAAGTCGATTGTACCTTAATGCATGATGTGAGATTTTAGAGTTAACAATTGTGTTTGAATCTGGATTCGCCCATTTACCATCTATAGACACATTACATTTGTCCCTTGGTATCCATGGGGCACTGGTTCCAAGACCCTAATGGATAACAAAATCTGCAAATGCTTGAGTCCCTTACATAGTATTTGTGTATAGCCTATGCACATCCTCCCATATGCGTATAATACTTAATGCAATGTAAATGCTAGGTATAAAATTGTTTTACTCTATTTTTATTTATTTTTTTTTTTTGGTTGTATTAGTTTTATTTCTTTCCAGATAATTTCAATCTGTGGATATGGAGGGCTAACTGTACCTAATTTTTCTGAGAGTTACATTCCAGTACTTTAAAACAAAGATGATAATACTTCCTCAGAAAGTTGTAGTGAAGAATATATGAGAAATGGTGTTGGCACTGTAATATATGCTCAGTAAATCTTTTTTCTTTTTGTTTCCCCCTTTTAACTATTTGCTTTTCTTACAACATTTCTAACCCCAAAGATTGAGATTAAGTTTCTTCACGAAAGAAATATTTATCAGCAGAAAGGTCAGAAAATTCCACTGGTGTTACTTTTGCCTCTTCTCATCTTTGACTGTTTCTCCATGTTTTATTCCTTGGGCTTCTGCCTTTTTTAAACACACACACACACACACACACACACACACACACACACACACTCTCTCTCTCTCTCTCTCTCTCTCTCTCTCTCTCTCTCTCATTCTTGATCATTTCTCCATGTTTTATTCCTTGGGCTTCTGTCCTTTACATACACACAACCATTGACCATTTCTCTGTGTTTTATTCCTTGGGCTTCTGCCCTTTTGAAACACACACACACACACACACACACACACACACACACACACACTCAACACACATAAAACTTTCCATTTGTTAAAATTTGTTTTTGATCAACATAAAATGGTGTGTATGGTAATTGTTCAGAAGGAAATGCTTATGTAGAATAATGCCTGCACAGAGTTTTCTCTCTCTTTTTTCTTTTTCTTTTTTTTTTTTTTTTTGTGACAGGATCTCGCTTTGTCACCCAGGCTGGAGTGTGGAGTGCAGTAGTGCAGTCTCAGCTCACTGCAACCTCTGCCTCCTGGGTTCAAGCAACTCTTCTGCCTCAGCCTCCCAAGTAGCTGGGATTACAGGTGTGCGCCACCACGCCTGGCTATTTTTTGTACTTTTATTAGAGATGGGGTTTCACCATGTTGACCACACTGGTCTCAAATTCCCAAGCACAAGCTATTCACTTGCCTTGGCTTCCCAAAGTGCTGGGATTACAGGCATGAGCCACCAGGCCCATCCTATAGTTTTCTCATTTTAACAACCATAGACTTCTTTAGAAAACTGGGTTATTTTTAGCCATTTTGATGACATCTATGAATACATATATTCCTATCTACAGATGAGCCAGGGAACATTGCCCAAATAATATAGAAATATTTGGGACCATTGAGAAACCATTTGGTTTATTGACTCTGATGTTGTACAATGAAATTCAATTTTGAAACACCTGATTGTCATACTAACATTCTTTTAATTAAATTTATAACTTCTCTTACATACCTCCTTGTGAAATAGGCACTATGCTAAGCAATTGGGGATGTACTAGTGAATAGATGGCTCTAAGATCTCTAAGAGGGGCTTCAGGCACCTGTGAAAGGCTTCAACTTATAAAGAATAGAATATTAGCCGGGCGCGGTGGCTCAAGCCTGTAATCCCAGCACTTTGGGAGGCCGAGGCGGGTGGATCACGAGGTCAAGAGATCGAGACCATCCCGGTCAACATAGTGAAACCCCGTCTCAACTAAAAATACAAAAAATTAGCTGGGCATGGTGGCACGTGCCTGTAATCCCAGCTACTCAGGAGGCTGAGGCAGGAGAATTGCCTGAACCCAGCGAGGTTGCGGTGAGCCGAGATTGAGCCATTGCACTCCAGCCTGGGTAACAAGAGCAAAACTCCGTCTCAAAAAAAAAAAAAAAAAAAAAAAAAAAGAATAGAATAGAATATTAGATGTGTATTTTCTGGGGAAGGACGGTAATTTTTCTCAAGTTTTCAGTCAGATCTGTTTATGCTTATTATAAATGAGATGTTCTATGACATGGCATTTCAGTTAGCTTTAACTCAATACAGTGGAACTATTACTGACATAGTAAACTGTCTTGTCCACATAGGTCTCTCATTGTTGCAAAGGTTTAATGTAGAAAGCATTGTAATAATTTTTGCCTCCTCATAAAAATAAGATCTTAGTTGTCACTAATAGGTATTTAGTACCTAAAATAATGTGGAGCATCATCTCATTTGACTTGGATGAGATCATATCTAGAGCATAGTATTTCTCTTTAAATGGCAGACTCTGAAAGAAACATTAGTGTAGTAAAGACCTTTATGGGAACAACCACAAAGAAGATGATTGAATGAACTCAAAATGCCGTATCTAGCAGAAATTTACTCAGACATAAATGTCTTCAAACATTTAAAGGATTGACTTGTAGAACAGTATCTCAAAGGCTGAGCCTTTGATTACTGGATTCAAATAATGGGGAAGCAGAACTGAGTTTGAAAGAAGCGAGAATGTTTGTTTTGCATTTTACATTGCAGGGGAATGATTGTCTTAAGGCTAATAGATGTTGTCAAAGCATTTTTCAATTAAATGTGCAAGTTTATGTGGAGTTTTGTAGGAGGCACTAATCTTTTTAGCAAGAGTTCTCTTTAGAAAGTCACATAATAAGGAAAGAGCAAGTAAAGCAAAGATTTTGACTTTTTCATTTAATAGGTTACCTTTAGGTGTTTTAGTAAATATTTTACTAGTAAATTAAAAGCCTCTTGTTTTTTCTTAAGACAATTTATTTAAAGTAATAGTATTATTTCTTGGCCATTAGCTGGTGTTGGAAATGTGTTTCTGCATAATTCTTAAAAGAGGGTTATATAACAAAAATTACCTAGTCTTTAGGGTTTCGTTTTCTAAAGCCAGTAAGTCAGCTGTCTTAATGACTGATAAATGTAGAAATATAACTGAGCTTTGCAAACTAAAAATCAAATGGAATATTTTTGAATGAGAATTCATCAAAAAGGAATAGTTTTGCATAGTTGATCTTCTACTGAAATTTAATACCATAACATCACCACAGTCTTGAAACTTGTACTGTTAGGTAGCATCTTCCAATTCTCCTTGTTGCAAAATTAATAATACATTTTAGATTAATGGATACATAGCAGTTAATTTATATATAAAGAATTATACTTTTAAGTTTAAACAAGATTTAGTATGTGATTTACAAAACAATAAAAGTAGTAAGTTTCGTCATACCATATGAAATTGTTAACATTTGAGCATTTTGACCTATAAAAATGGTGCTTTCACATGGCTCAACCAAGTATTATAACAGGTTTCAATAGCAAAAATATTTAAGCTCCAGCCAGTGTCCCGCTTATTCCAGTTAATGTTTAAAACAGAATTG